TGGCCACAATTCGGTCTTGGGTCTTCAACACTCGGTCAAACGATCACCAATCATGAGGTTTGGAATTCGACCATACACTTGTGTATGACTAGCATGCCCCCAGAGTAATTGTATTTCAAATTAGCGGTAGTCTTAACAATGAGCATATATAAGATAGAAATTCTTATCTAGCAGGCAACTTCCTTACTATTAGAGTGAATTTACACTGCAATTTCTTTGCTTAGAAGCTTTGTGTTCAGGCAATTGGTTCGCCTAGCGCTTGAGTATTCATATTGCTCCACAATTCATATATGGCCTTGCACGAGTTGCCAATTCCATACTTTTCTCAATGTCATAGCCATGTAGAGAATAATAAATTAACTAGAGAAATTCATGTTGTGGAGACCACAAACTGGTGTATAAATGTTAGCTAAATTGAAGATGTCAATTTCTGTCTCCTCTAGCAATGATATTGAAGCTTTGTTGAGAAGCACACGTGACACCATCTTCACTTAGCCCGCATAAGTGGTTTTTCCGTCATCTCCGTAGCCCATGTATTGATCATGCGAATGTTTTCAACAATTTTTTTGCTAGACTCAACTTGGTCAAGCAAAAGTTTTGTCCCTTCATGAGAATCATGCATACTCATCCATATAAGAGCAATTCAACTCTACATATTCACATATAAATTTTTGATAGGATCGTTCCAAGGTTATGAAATACACGAACTTGCAGTTAAAAAAAAAAATTACATCAAATGTGATGGTGTTCAAATGAGGCATGAGGGCTTATCTTCCATGTGTATTCACAAAAGAGCTTTGAATCGCACAAGGAAAAGCACAGTTGGGCCACTCCAATTCCACTTAAACATCAATCTCGAATTAATTGATATACACTGCAACTTCGTATTTAGCATTATTGAGTCTATAGCCTCTATACTAACAATACTCGCAGTCTAGCATCAATTTTCATAGGTACCTCTGCATTGTGCATTATCTTCTGGTCAAGTTTGCCAAATATGGATCATGAGCGAACATTACCTTGATAAATCTAACATCTAAATCGTGGCTTGTCCCACCATTCAAACTTTTGGTATGCAGCCAAGGGATGCACACTAACACTAGCCACCACTCAATGACGATAATTCCATGAAGGTTAAAATTTCCTCTGGTCCAACCTTGTCATGTGTCTTCACATGTTACTCAATGTTCTCTTTCTTCAATGGTGTTTCTTCCTATGTTTGGTTCCTTATAGTAGAATAACGGGACGATTTGGAATGGTCTATGGTCTGCAACTTCAAACCCTCATCCCAGTGGAGTTTGACCAGTGTAAATCTATCCCATTTGAATGCAAGGTCTCATCGCCAATAATGTAGATCGAGAATAGGGGTCTCCAAACTCAACTTTCGGTGTGCATACTCTGCATGATTCACTTATCATGGAACTCACTTCTGAATAAAAGCGCTTGAAAAGGTTTAGATTGTCATGCATCCAAGTATGGAAAGATAGTCGAGTCAACATAAGCTAGATATTCAATCCTTTTACGAGCTCCAAAGAATCTAATTCAATAATGACTGACAAGTAATTTCTTTCCTGGCCAATTCATGAAACAGAAAGAGTATAGAAGTTCCATCCAAAACGTAACATGGACTACACACATTCTAGTATGAACTCAGATAAGAATATTCTTAATGTAGAATTTAAACACGCTGAAAGATTTTTCTTGTAAAATTGTACAGAAATAGAGGATTGGTACACACAATATCTTTAACTTGTTATGACAAAAATATGTACTGATAGAATTTGTATTTCATGCACAATCGTAAAAGAGATGGAGGAAATAAACTCTTCTCTATATTTAGGGTATGAATTCGCGTCCCCCACTGCATAACCGGAAATATTTGCTCCTCGCTTTGTATAAATGTTTTTCAACCAGTGACCGAAAGCTTCAGCACAATCCCTCTGTAATTATAAGTGTGCCGGTCACCGTGGTTTGGTCTTGGCAGCCACAATGAGCATGTCTAGAATCCAACTTTGGGCTCTTTCTAGTGTTACATGACGACGCGGTAGCTTGGCTTCGTAGGACCCTAACCCCTAATACAATAGAACCTTGTGCGTCACAGTTTGGGATTGTTTCCCCAAGCTAGAAGTGAAACTACATCAGTACCTCCAAAATTCAAGTGGTAAATATATTTGACATAATAAAAACGAGATAATTGGAGTCCAAGATTTCTACACAAAAGTGCTTTCATGAACCTCCAAAGCCCAAAGGATTGCAACAATCATTTCCCACATTGTGCTATGGCAAGAAGACGTATAGTTATATCATATACGTTGTGCTGCTATTAGTGAAATCATAGAGAGAGTGAATAGAAAGCTTCCCTGTTTGGGGTTTTTGGCCGGTGCCCCCATTGTGGCTGGGGTGGAAACCATGACTTCTTGATACGGCTTTTTTGTATGAATTCTCACATACAGCGCCAACTGTTCGAGCAGAAAATTTCGGATCCTTTTAATCCTCCAACTAATAAATCTTGTAATCACATCAATAAGCCAACACTATCTTCGCTTGTCATCAATGAGGGAGAGGGGGACCTGCAATAAACACTCCGATGCTTGAGTTAGCCTTTGTTCAAAATGATTACATTACATTGTAAATGGATCTCATACTTTCCTCCTTTTTCTCCACGTTTTGGTGGGATTCTAGGCCTTTTATAGGCATAAAAAGCTTGGGCTCCAAGTGCCATTATCCTCCATGTTCTTTAGTAGTAATTTGATTCATGTTGGTTTATTTTAGCCTTACTCCCCTATTTTTAGGATGCATGAAAAATGGCTAGTTACTTGACCTTAATATTTGCACCGACAATTTGGTCTGACAACTTGCACCTACATGCCCGGCGCAAAAAAATCTATAACGTGGGTGGCTGACATCAGATAGCCTCAAACAAGGCCTCAGGCCATTCTTACCCGACTACTTGGTCTGTGAGAGATGAGCCCACCCAATCGGTGGGGCAATGGTTATGGGCTGAAGCAAATTTTGAAGAAATCAGAGGATTCAATTACTCCATAAGTGGGCAATTTGCAGAAATGGAGCTGCTCATCTAAAGAAGATTCTGCCATTTCTATTTCTTTCTAGCTACACGCTAGAAAACGAAGCATGCTATATGCACGAGGCATTACCAGAAAGCATATAATGTGAGCTATCTCGGCACAGGAGGTACAAAATTATATAGAATCCTAGTCATGATTATGAAAATCCTCACTACACCATAGCTATTGCTGCCATTGTTACTGAAACTAGAGTTGTTTTGATCTCCCCGGCCATAATGCCTTCTTATTCGAGTAACATTTCTTGTTTATCTTAGTTCCGTTTACTCCATTTCACGCAATAATGAGAATCAAACAAATTATGAGCCAAATGATGAAGCAAGATCAACTTAGTATCACCACAATACAAATGCTAAGAACTAACACAAAATTAAAAATATTTACATACGAAGGATCGTAGTCTTGAGTCTTAACTAGGAAACAACTTTCCCTCTTACGGTCTTAGCAACCTCCGATAAGCAAGTATATCAGCAGAGCGAGTAGATTCCCCGTTGGTATGTTGGAACTTGACCCGCCAGTCACATTTGAACTCTAATCAGCAACCAATGTCAGTAACCTTTAGCGAAATTCATGGGGGAGGACATGAATATGTATGGGAAGATTATTGCAACTCTAACATCATTTTTTGTTAATTTCAGACTATCTAAAATCATCTCTAACACTCTAATGAAGTGGGTGCGTAGGGCATCGAAAAGCTGGTGGTGGTTGAATTAAAACTGTTCACGATTTGCAGCGCCTAAATTTGGAGACCAGATGTTACTGCAACTTTTCCCTTCGAGGGCAACGTATGTGGATTCTTTGGGCTTAATAACTACTTCAAGTGCTAATTCTTGCGGAGTCTTGAGTGCACTGATCAACAGAGTGCAATTCACAATTATTACTGACAAGAGGGAATCACCGATCGAAGAGTTTGACAAAACATCATCTTTACAATTAATTAAGTGGTATTATGTGAACAATGAAACATCCATAATCATAATCAGGTATGCCAACAGGTCATGTTTGTCGTATTCGGGTCGTGTCGTATCAAATTCGTTATCTTAACTAGTTCTTAACATGTGGCCCAATAACGATTGGATTCATTAACGGGTTGTGTCGTTTCGTGTCAGGTTAACAGGTCATGCAAGAAATTTTCATGCTTAATGTCTAGAGCTGGCAAATAATATCTTATCAGGTTTTTAACGGGTGACCCGTTAATGAGCCAACTCATTAATAGGTTCTAAATGTTTGACTCATTACGACCCGACTCATTAACATGTTGATCTGAAACTTGTTATTTCACGTTGAGTTAACGAGTCGTGCAAGAAATTATCATATCTAATCATAACAGTAATAGTTTTTAATATTCAAACATACACGGTAGTGATATGATATCCCCAAAAGGAGAAGACCAAAATCCAAAAGGGTCATTGGCAATGGAATAGACTTACCTACACTCGGATATGTTATTATAGCAGATTGTTTGACACATCCGACCCTAATATCCTCTGTACACCAGGGTAAGCACGTGCTGGCCGACAACCGAAGGTGACGAAGCCATACTAATACGCATGAGAACCAATGAAAATAGACAAAACTTATAAATTTAAATATAATGTATATGCAAAAGATGAACGTATTCGGAGCATACAACTAATCTAGAACACTAAAAAGAAATAATGTAAAATTGAATGAACAAAGAGATGGGTCCTACATCGAGGGGACTCGAAGATGCCGATGCGGAAGTGCCTTGACACTAGGACTGTACGCCTCAATTCTAAATCCTAAGGGGGCACAAACCAAAACATGAGTGGACCAATTTGATATATAAATAGTACTAACATAATTATGAAATAACGTACTAACCCCAAAGTTTATGAAAACTCAATAGCATAATATGTAATAGGTTTTCTAAAAACCCTAGCATGCCATAAAACCTTTCATAAAACATATATCATATATAGTGTGTTTAGTAGTGGTATATATATAAAAGGCATATACATATATATAAAATTTCATTCACCCGAAGGCATGTAGAACACTTCTTCATTCATCTGAAGGCTCTACATCATGCGCCCATAGGCAGACCATTCGTCCGTAGGTAGTATCATTCGCCCGTAGGACACTACATCTCCTAGTCGAAGCCAATATAAGTATCTTCCGATCGAAGCCACCAACCTATGCCCGGTCGAAGCCAATATGAATATCTTCTGGCCGAAGCTATCTACAAATGCTCGGTCGTAGCCAATAAAAATATCTTCCGCCCTTGCCTTCATTTGCCCGTAAGCTTCTATAGCACCCACCCGAAGGCATATAAGTATCAATTGTCTGTAGGCTCCTACAGCACCCACCCGAAGGCATACAAGTATCAATCGCCTGTAGACAGAACATACGACTGTAGGCAGAACTGTTCAAATAACCATTATGTAAGTACATAAGTATATATCTTTCTAAATCGGAGTTCAGTAACTAAAACATCACATCGTAAAACTTATTTGTAGTATATAGTCATCAATCATATATACTATTATTCCAAAATATTCTCTATAAAGCATGATATCTCATAAATAGGGATGGCAACGGTTTGGTTTGGGGATGGAAATGCTATATCCATCCCCATAACCATGAAAATTAACCATACCCATAACAGCAAAATAATCATCGGGGATTATCCATAACCATATCCACCGGGTAACGGATTTTCAATCGGTTATTGGTTATATCCATCTTCATAAAAAAAAAAATATATATATATATATATATTCATCCAATGGACGCACTATAAATTTTAGTAGATACTAATTTTGCCATTAAATAGCCACATCCAATTACAAAAAACATAATATATTTGAAGTTGTTCATGATAAGCCAATATGATAAATTGGTCCAATAAAAAAGAAAAAGAGGACAAAGACAAATACGAAGGGAAGATAAAACATGTAAACTAAATATATGACAACAAACAAGAAGACAATTATTGATTTAATTTTGCATAATTCTATGGGCTCATAACATATGTAATAAACTGAAAAACTGACGCTAATTGATAATTTGCATGAATCAAATAACATGAAAAAGAATGAAAGATTACCTATTGAGCTTACAACATGCACCAATTTCTTGATAGTGAGACTCTTGAAGAGAGATGAATCTGATAAACTTGAAACATTTGATAATTGATATATAAAATGATTCAATGAATTAATTTGATTAAGTATAACAATAAGAGTATTGAATTGATGAGGTTGTTGGTATGCCCCATGTATGATGTTTAGTGCATAATAAAGATAGTATAGAGTTTAATGCATGCATAATGAATTAGTACTATATGGATAAGAATAATTGAATACGTTGTGGGCATGATTCCAAGACTTCAAAAGGCATAATTGAATAAATATATATATATAATATATATATATATATATATAATATTCAGATCGGATTCGGGTACGGATATGGATTGGGTACCCCTATAACCATATCCAAAACCATAACCGAATAAAGTTAACAGGTTTTTTCCCATATGCAAACCATACCCGAATTTTCATATCCAAATCTAATCCATTCGGGCGATTATCCACGGTGAACGGGTTTAACAATTAGAATTACCATCCCTACTCATAAATTGTAAATCTATTTTGCTCATAAACATTTCATAAAACGTAACCATTAAATCATGCTTTTCATGTATGCATTTCTAATAGGAAAATATGCATTTTAGAAGGGGTCCACTCACCTTACACAGTTGGCGAAGAGTCTTGCAAACAAGAGAGGACGAAAATGCCATACACAATTGCACCTAAGCACATAAAGGTACCAATTAATAAAACTCTATCATAATTATTGAATTTGGGGAAACGAACGTCAGAAACAGATTTAGGACGTCGAATTACCCTAAGAGAGGTCCCGGACAAATTTCGTAAAAGTCAACACAAAGAATATTCCAAGAACATTCTAGAGAATATTCCCTAACAAAATATTCCATCTGGATTGAGCCGGTTTAGCCGGGTTGGGCCGAGGGTTTTGGCTGGCCAAAGCTTGGGTTTTGGGTTTAGTTGGTATGACTTGGTTTTCTAGGCTTGGACAATTGGGTTTTTAAGCCTGGGCTGGCTATTAGGTTGGGTTGGGCTCAAGTAGGTTAGGTCGGGTCAGGTCGACCCGTTTTTAGGCTATGGGTCGGTCGTCTCGCCGAAGAAGAAAGCCAGAGCTTTCAAGCTCCGGTCAACCCACAACTCAGCAAAAACCCATTAACCCTTATACCAAAATAAAGCTACAAAGGAAAGGACTAGAACTATACCAATCATGAGGCCAGTCGTGGTCGGAGTTGGTCCGAAAAATGGTCTGGGGTCACAGATTCTCGTCCGAATCTGGGGAAAGTTTCCCCCGAGCTGTTCTGCGTCTAACTAGTGTACACTAACATCAAACCTACCCTAAACTAACCTTAAAACACACCCCAAGAGGTTTTAGAGTCTTACCTTTAGCCTAGATGGCGGAACATGTCGGGGAAGGTTGCACAGTGACAGGAAAGAGAAAGAGCTTGGGGGAGGGGTTCCTTCATCAATCCTGGGTTCATGGGTCTTGCAGAGGATGTGGGGAGGGATAAGATGATGGCGATGTAGGTCTGGTGAGGGGTCTTGAGCCTTAGCTTGACAAAGGAGAAAAATGAGTCCTGGAGAGTGGGGGAAAGAAGAGAAAAAGTGATGGGAGAGCAAAGAAAAAGTGAGGCCGGGAGACCAAATCAGAGGGTATGCCCCATTGGCACACCACCCAAGCCCAAAAGCAAACAATTAAAACAAAATATCTCCCTACACGTGATATTACTAAAATACCCTTCTGTTCTAAAATCCAAATAATTTTTCGAGACAAGTTGTTACATTGTTATTGTATGTGCCTTGAGATACAGTTACAACATTGTGCCCACTGTAGATAAATTTATTCATTTGTACATGCACTTAGACTGTGAAAACGAAAAACTCTTAGTTGTCTCTTATGGACATTTTGTTGTGTCTATATGTCTCGAACTCTCGAGTGACTTGAGACACATCACATGATGTTAGATTTTTACCAAGAAAAAAGGACCGATTCACAAGGGACCTTGAATGGTGGGACTCCATCTAATAGTAAATGGGATCCACACCCTTTAAATCTAACCGTGTCACAAAGACTCATAACCACAAAGTCGAGACCCACCCACCTACAGAAGCTTCTTTGCAGTTACAGTTTTCAATGATCGCTAATTTAACTCGACTTAACTTATATAACCTTTTTTTGGAAACTTAACTTATATAACCTTGTGAAAGGAACGGATACTGTGATTTTTGACAGGAAAGATGTTCTATCAAGGACGAGGTGAAGAATCTGCATATGGATGGTTTAATCCAATTAGACAGACTGTTCAAATAAAATGAAATAAAAAATTAGTCAAAAGCATAATTCTTTAAAATTTTCAGACTTTCGCTTTTCTCCTTATCAATTTTTTTCATGCAAAAACAGAGTGCAAGAATAACTTCCTTTCAATTCAACTCATTCTTTTTTTTCCGAATGAGAACTAGTCCTCTGAGATAAACTAATCCAATGAAAATGACATTCACAGCAAGCAAACTTAGACCATTACGGAAGGTAGAAATGAAATGGTCAAGACAGCCTTTAACTAGAATAAATGGCATTGTTTCAACTTTCTTATACATGTCACGATCTCTCATAAATCCAAAACCAAAATATTAATCTGGAGCAGGATAAAAGTAAAAACACATTGTATCTATTCACTGTGACAAGAACTGAATCAAAATAACCCAATAATTTAGCCTTTTCATAATACTTTAACCTTTTTAACTTACTCCAATGAATCTATGATCAATCAACAACCAAAAATCCATGCTTTTGTATCAACTTCCTATGCTCTCCTATTCGTTTCTTGGAAGAATTGGGATGCTTTGCTCGTTGTAGAAGAAATTTTCTGGATCGACGGCGGTCTTCACCTTCACCAGCCTATCGAAATTGTCGTTGAAATACTTCACTCCATAAACCCTTCCTTCTTCATAAGAAGGAGCCCCAGTTGAACTAGCACCAATGTCAAGGTCTCTATAGTTCAGAAAAGCACTTCTTGGATTCTTTGACACAAATGGGGTCATGTAACTGAAAAGCCTCTTGCTTTGTGTGGTGTAGTTCTTCTCCAAGTCTTCCCCTGCATCCTCCCAGTTCACTGAGTACTGAATTTTGTACAAGTTTCCGGCACGGTGGGGAAAAGGTGTCTCGGATGGTGCAATCCGGCTCATTTCCCCACCATACGGATTGAAAACAAGTCCTGTTTTCCCTAGCTCGATCATTTTTTTCCACAGCCACTCCAACCCGTCCTATTGAAATCGGGGTTTGGACATAATCAGACTTCCTCTTCAAGAAATTTGCATCGTTTGGCATTCTGTCAAGCAACGCCTTGGGAGAGGTTCCAATGTCGAAATTCGCCCACCAGAGGACGGATTCAATCCAGTTCATCTCAGTACAATTCTCCTTCTTCAACCCCAATTCAGGGAACTCCTTACCCAACAATTTCACAAGCTGATCAGCAGTGCCTAAAAACTCGGCCAAAACTGAGGCTCTAATAGTCTTTTCCCCCTTCTTCACTTTAGAACTGACAGGCTGCAACAACAGCCTCAAAAACAACCCATCATCCGTCGTGGGCGCCACCTCCTGCCACCGAGAAACGAGGGCGGTTGCATTCTGCTCCAACGTTTTCTCAACCCGAAAAATTGTAACAACTTCCGGGACAGAAACCAACTTCAACTTGTACGAAATAATGACACCAAAGCTTCCTCCACCTCCTCCTTTAATAGCCCAAAACAAGTCCTCCCCCATCGATTTTCGGTCGAGAAGTTCGCCTTTGGCATTGACAATCTGAGCATCAAGGACATTGTCAACAGCAAGACCATACTTCCTCAGCAAGTTACCATATCCGCCGCCACTTAGGTGCCCACCAACACCAACCAGTTGGCAAATCCCCGCCGGAAAGGCATGGACTTTACTCTTCTCCCAAATCCTATAGTACAACTCTCCAAGCGTAGCGCCGGCCTGAGCCCAAACGGAGTTGTCCTTAATGTCCACCTTGATCGACCTGAGATTAAACATGTCAAGAACAATAAATGTCTGGCTAGACCAGTAAGAAATGCCCTCATAATCGTGCCCGCCGCTTCGGATTTTGAGCTGTAAGCCGGCGAGCTTGGCGCAGAGGACGGAGGCCTGGACATGGGATTCGGTTAAGGGTGTGACAATGAGGAGTGGTTTTGGGGTGGAGGTTTTGTTGAACCTGGAGTTTCTGATGTAGGCTTGTAAAACTGGTGTGTATGAAGGGTTGTTTTGGGCATAGACTATGTTGGATAATTGAGATGTGTTGGATGAGTTTGTTTTGGTTTTTAGGCATTGGAGGAAGCTGTCATAGACAGAATCCGAAGTTGCCCATGAAGCAGAAGCTTGAAGAAAGACAAGAGAAACAAGAAGTTTAAGAATCCTCGGCATTGCGTCTCTCATCGGTTTTGTTAAATTTGTTGGATGTTTGTAAGGGCTTTGGTCCTCTTTTATATGGACAGAGAGGCACCAGCGCCCCCGTGTGGGAATAGTATTTGCACTCGTTCGTTCTTATTTCCGCGCACTATTTTTTTCTTTGAAGAAAAATCACTGCTCTTTTGTAATTGAAATTGTAATCCTCATTTTGTTGGTCACTTGTGACTAATAATTCATGGTTTTTTTGGAGAGATTTTTTAAGTATCGGGTATTCAAGCGGTATTTTAATGTTATATAATATTAAGTGTCAGAAATGATATTTTTTTCGTGTTCCTCCAATTATTTTATGGCGCGTAGAGTACTCGCTTGAATACTGAACACTTTGATAAACTAATTCTTTGTTATTGGATTTGAGATTAAAAAATTAAAAGTTTATTTCTATTTTATTTCATTAGGCGGGGATTTTTAGAATAGGGACCGCATCCAGCGAGTAATGTCTTGCCTAGTGAGTGATGTGGCACCGCTTGGTGAGCCATGGTTTAATGCGATCTCGCTTGCAAGAAATGAGTTTGGTGTGACTTCGGTTATTAGCGATGACTTGATGTGGTCTCACTTGTGTAGCGGTGACATTACGTGTATCCTTACATTTATCGCGAAGGAAATCAAGTGGCAAGTGATTGGAGAAATTTTTAGTTATGATGGGAACATGGATGGTACACCACGTGTTTTTATGCAAGTGGTGGAAAATTTTAATTTTTAAGTTATTAACCTTTTAACACACATAACCCATCATTTATATATGGACACGTGGTGTATCATCTCGTGTGACGGTCACACAGAAAAATCTCTCGAGTGATTAGGCAAATTGTCATCCTCTCTTCCATGCATGTTCGTTTGCTCACATTTATCGTGAAGGAAATTAGGTGGTAGATTGTTTGGAAAACTATGGTGTTGATCATGTTAGGGTTCATTGGTGGGATTCTTGTCTGACGTGTGCAGTTGCGGCCTTTGTTCATAATCTTTCGGGACTTCCAAATTTTTGTTTCTCTTAGAAGTTCTCTTAATTGATTTTTTGTTTCTAATAATTTTCTTCTTCTTCTTGTTAGGGTTTGGCTTCATGTACCCTTTAACTTATTGTATCTTTACTTTTTCTTTAATATATTTTCACAATAATATCTTTTTCCATGATAGCATTGCCAACATTATTTTTTCAATTAAACAAAAAAAACATTACGTGTATCTGGTGTAGGTCTGCTGCGTCTGCTGCCTTTGTGGCATGTTGACCTACCAATATTTGTGCTAGTTGTATGCATTTGTGAATTGTGGTAGCCAATTAAGGGATTATTATTATTGTTTGTTTGTGCAAATTACCTCTATATTAAAATTTGATTACTAAATATTGTACCCATTTGACAATTCTGCATAAAAAAAATTTATAGAAAATTTTCTTTCATGGTGTGACTATTGAGTAGAAAATTCAATGGAAACTTTTAGGAAAGTAATCTGGTTTGTTGTCACATTCCAGTCTCGACTATGCCGTAGCACGATATTGTCTGTTTTAGGCTCCAGCCACGTCTTCACGGTTTTATTTCTGAGAACTCACACAAGAACTTCCCACTGGGTCACCCGTCCTAGGATTGCTCTCGCCCAAACTGGCTTAACTTTGGAGTTCCGATGGAATTCGAAGCCAGTGAGTTCTCAAATGGCCTCATGCTGTATGGAGGTGGACATGTACATATAAGGCACATCACCCCCTTTTCGTTGATCGATGTGGGATGTTACAATCCACCCCTTTAGGGGCCTGACGTCCTCGTCGGCACATCTGCACCACACGGCAAAGTGGTGTTGGAAATTTTGAGTAAAAATTTCTTTGTCCCACATTGGCCATTCCCAAAAGGTTTCCTCACTTTATAAGGTTTTGTCCCTTATAGAAAGTGATTGGAATGATAGGTCTTGGAGACTAAAATTGGGTTTACCCTTGGGGTTGGATCTTGGGGTGTACTAATTAATTATCAAAAGATAGGCCTTAAGCATTGGGGCTCTTGGGCTCTAATAATTAAATTAATTAATTATTTTTTTACCAACAGACTCATTTTTTCAGATGAAGTCTGAAGTGTGAAAAAAGGCGGAAAGAAAACACCCTTCTGAGAAGATGTCTCCCAACAAATGCATCACTTCCTCATACCTATTGCGAACAGGCGTAATCATATTACATATACATCCATCTGCATGACATTTAGAACATAGAAAATACAATTCTTCTTCTATAATTCTGACTTGATCGTTGAATTTTGGTGAAGCAGACGTCCATAGAACTACAAGCATTGAGTAGAGACGAAATTTCTATTTCAAGGACATTACGGTACGCAAGAATTATAGACAGCATGTAATGACAATGATCGCAGGTTATTTTATCACTTACAAAACTATTAAAACCTTGGAGCATACATACATGCACCAAAGTGGACTTGTTAGTAAATATGTCAGTTATTCTGGGTATAATTAACAAATTTTTATAACTCAGCTTTTAGAAGGAAAAAAAATAAATGTTCCAACCGGAGACCATATGCATATATGTCAAACAAGTTCACCTGTATTAAAAAATTCCTCGTTTTGATTTTTCCAACTGAGAGTGCTTTGTCTTGATAACGAAATGCACGCATATATCTATGTAGTTGTCCAGTTGTGGGTACAGGTAACGTGTGCTTATTATGGTCAGTATGCATCTAGATGACTAACATTAATCATCGATTACGTATGTCTTCAAAATAATTTAGTATTATAATTTAATGGTATTTTTCTTCATTAATAAGTGAGATTTTATATATTTGAATATCGTGAATGATCTCATCACCAATGTATTTTCACCATCCTTTAATGTAATATATTGTATTGTTGTATTAGAAAAAAATAAGGAAAACTAATGAAAAAAGGGTTTGAAAACTTTGACTTTTAATGATATGGACAAAATAAAGGGTAAAGTGAATAGTACCATGATTGACTTTTTAGTGTAAAATGTGGTTTTTCGTTAAAGTAAACAGTATCATGGCCTTTCGTTAAAACTCCTAAAAAAATATCTTAAGCTAAACAGTGAACCTACTAAAATAATTTTGTATTGAGCTCGTCATTCACATGAGTTGACATAAAACTAAGTAGAAAAAATTACCATTAAACTATAATGCCAAATGACATGAGATTGAATTCATATTAGATGTACACAGTTTCAATAGACCTAAACAATGACAAAATTTAAAAATATTGCTCTAGCTAAAAACATTTGTACTCATAAATGCTTTTATTAGAAGCACGTCAAATACTTTTAAAATAAATATGGGTGATTATCACGGAACTTCGAGAACATAGTTCAAAATTTCCACATTTTACAAGGAAATTTTTTAACTTTATTATCCATGCCGCCTCTAATTTATAATTGTTTTTAATTACAATCCAGAAACCTTTTAATCTTTTTGTACCAAACCTTTTAAAAGAAATGCTAAAGGAAATAGTCTGTCGTGTTGTGATTCAAAGTGCAGTTTTTGGAAGATAAGCATTGTCGCATTATTTGGCACTAGCAAGGTTAATGATCATACATAATGTCGATTCAGTGGGCGAAGGGGATGGAGCCTGCCATAAGTATTGGACTTTTCAAATCAAGGGACCACTGCTTTAATAAAAAGGATCGACTTAACAAAGTCGTATATACTTTGTCTTCTACTACACATTCTCTTCTGAATATTTGGAAAGATTAATGACGTACATTTTCAATTCTCTCCGATCACAGAATTATTGAATTCACATTTATTTAGAGCCTCAAATTCATCGACTGCATCTAGTGCCTCATACTTTTTGGAAACATACGTATCTAGATTAATGACATACTTTTCCAATTCTCTCTAACCACAGAGTTATTGAATTCACACTCATCTAGAGCCTCAGATTCATAGTATGCATCTAGTGCTTCAGATTTTTTGGAAACGCACGTATCTAGTGCCTCATAGTTTATTCAAACATCATCCTCACATAGTTCAATCTCTTGTCAATACATCATTCTCCTAGTCCACTATCTACTGGTAACTCACCTACACAGTATCTCGTCCCTGTGGACCCTGATTTTCAACATGAACAACTTCACGTTGTTCTTCTATCCCAATGAATGTGCATCCTATGCAAACAAGGTCCAAGAATGATATTACTAAAAGGAAGGCTTCTCAGCTAGTGTTGGTTCCTCTCAATCACCTACCTCAGAACCAAAAACATTCAAAGCTGCATCAAAAGTACCAGAATGGCAGGATGCAGTGAAGGAAGAAATTGATGCCTTGTACTCTTAGAATAGGTGGTCTCTAGTTCTTCTTCCACATGATAAGAACCTAGTTGGGTGTAAATGTGTTTACAGAGTTAAGAAGAATGCAAATGAATCGCAAAGGGTTATAGCCAAGAAGAGGGTGTAGACTATGGGAAAACTTTTAGTCATATGGTTAAGCCTACAACCATTAAACTAACCATTGCTTTAGCTATTCAATTCAAGTGGCCACTCAAGTAATTGGATGTAAAAAAATCCATTTTACATGGCATTCTTCAAGAAGAAGTATATATGGAGCAGCCTCTAGGTTTCCAAAGTTCACAATATCCATCCAATTATGTTTGTAGGTTTCAAAAGTCACTATATGGACTTAAGCAAGCTTCAAGAGTCTAGAACGAGAGGTTCATCTTTTTACCAGCACTAGGGTTTAAACCTTCTCAAGTTGATCCATATTTGTCTGTCCAGCATGCACTCTTCAAAAGTCATTGTTGTACTGCTTTGTTATGTTGATGATGTGATTCTAACTGGTAGTTCTTCTCAGTTAATATCACTTGTGATTACAGAGCTTACTACGAAATTTGAAGTGAACGACTTTGTCACAATACACTATTTTCTTAGCTTAAAAATCAGTAATACACCAGAAAGGTTGTTTGTGTCACAATCAAATTATGTGAATGAGTTGATTGACATAGTTGACTTGTAAGATTGTAAACCATGTGCTACTCCATGTCTACTATATAACATGTTACTTAAAGATGGTGGTAAACCATATCATAGCCTTGTTTAATACATGAGTGTATGTAGTTGGAGCACTTCCATTAGACTAATCATTGCTTAGCTGCTCAATTCAAGTGGCCACTCAGGTAATTGGATGTAAAAAATCCATTTTTATATGGCATTCTTCAGGAAGAAGTATATATGGAGCACGTTTTCAAAGTTCACATTATCCACCCAATTATGTTTGTAGGCTTCAAAAGTCACTATATGGACTTAAGCAAGCTCCAATAGTTTCAAATGAGATGTTCATTAGCTTTTTACTAGCATTAGAGTTCAAAGCTTCTCAAGCTGATCCATCTCTGTTTGTCTAGCATGCAATCTTTAAAAGGCATTGTTGTACTGCTTCTTTATGTGGATGATGTGATTCTAACTGGTAGTTTTTCTCAGTTAATATCATATGTGATTACAGAACTTACTACAAAATTTGAAATGAACGACTTGGGTACACTACACTATTTTCTTGGCTTACAAATCAGTAATACACCAGAAAAGGTTGTTTGTTGATTGACAGAGTTGACTTGTAGGATTGTAAACCATGTGATACTCCATGTCTACCATATAACAGGTTACTTAAAGATGATGGTAAACCATATCATTGCCCTATTCAATATAGGAGTGTAGTTGGAGCACTTCAGTATCTCACATCCACAATGCCTACCATAGCATTTTCTGTGAATCAAGCTTGCCACTTCATGCATAACCTTATGGAATCTCATGTCATTGCAGTAAAGAGGATTCTCAAATACCTCAAGGGCACTTCCACTTATGGTATTCATTTTAAACCACATCATGTGCATTTACAATCATATAGTGATATAGATTAGGCTGGTGACCCAAATGATAGAAGATCAACCTCAGAGGTTGTGGTATTTCTTGGTTCGAATCCTATTTCATGGGCATCAAAGAAGCAGCACGCTGTTTCACAATCTTCAACAGAGGCTGAATATAGGTCCTTGCAATCATAGTTGTAGAAATTGCTTCGATTAGGCAGTTGTTCTGTGACCTATATGTTCTCTTTTTCTACCACCAATGATCCACTGTGATAATGTCTCAGCTATTGCTTTATCCTTAATCCCGTGTTTCATGATAAGTCCAAACACATTGAGACAAATTATCACTTTGTCAGAGAAAGAGTCACTAGAGGAGATCTTCATGTGCATCATGTTTATTATGTAGATCATTCAACTGATATACTCACTAAAGGACTGTATGCATCCTTGTTTCAACAATACTATGGCAATCTCATGCTTAGTTCCCTCAAGCATGAAGACAAAGCTAAGGATCTAAGTCAAGATATATCAAGGGTCTAGCTAATGCCACTCGTCAATAGATAAAGTAGGTAGTTATAAGGATTGTTAAAAAGTTGTTATAAGTTGTTAAAAGTGGCTAAGGAAGTTAGGAGAGAATATTATCCGTAGACTTAGCTTCTATTACAAGTTGTGTAAGAAAGCAAAATATATAGCTGATGTGTAAGATTACTTCGTCATAAAAAAAAAAATACATTTTATTCTTCCAAACTCTTGAGCTCTCCTTTCTTTGCAATCTCTACGTATTTGTCTTCAATTTCTCCAAGCTTTTCTTCAATCTTCACATCTAACACACCAAACCATAGAAAAATATATAATTAAAGATGGCAAGTTTGGTATACATTGTAAGTTCATTCTCTAACATGATAACATCTTTTGCAGTCTATTAGTTGTCTAATTTGGTATAGAGAGCCTTGTTTACAAGTACTTCTTACTTTGATTCCAGTTCGTCACTTCTTTGAACCTTTTTAGGTGCAAAGCTGCAATGTAAGTCCGTTTCCAATAAGAATTTGAACTTGAACTTTTTAGGAAAGTTTGTGTTTCCACTTGCAATAAGAATTTCCTTTTATATATCATTTTTCTTTGTGAGGAAAAAAAAAAAAAAAAAAAAGGTTTAGGATGGAGGGGAGGCTACCCCACATCTCAGGTTTGGGCATACTATAAGCATTTTTGAGGATTTACAAATGAAGTCTTAGCCCTTTTTTTGTTTTTTACAAATTGTGCACCAAGAGATATTGCCAACAGTGGAACTCGAACTTAGGCCTTTGATCTAGTGAATAGAACGATGTTTACCTACTCAATCAACCCTTGTTGGCTTATTAACCATATTTCCATGTGCAATTAATGATTTGCTTGCAATTAACACTATGATTTATCTATATTTCTCTTCATTTTGGAGAAGTCTAAGATTTGAATTCCATGAATGATGAAAGTCATACCAAAGTATTCTGGTTGGCGCCTTAGTGTAATATAGATATTTTACTGATCCTATTTTTCCATGATTCCTTTGTTAATTAGAACTTTCGAATAAATTAATTTGGATATTTAATTGGGTTTGTAATTCTTTTTATTATCTGGATTTGATACAATCATAACCTATTTGTCTTTATTTTCACTTGGACGGTTTTTCTCTTGACTTTTCTTATCATATAATCTAACGCAACTATTTCGATATATAACAGGTATAAGATTATTATTTATGTCTAATACAAGCAGACGAACAAGCCAGGCCACTTTTATTATCCGACTATCTCAGAAAACAGAATCGTATGTATTGGATTAAACAGAAGAAAAACTTTTTTTCTTTCTTTCTATGTCTCTCATTTTGAAGGAAATTAGAATGGATAAGTTTCTTGAACAATCCATTTTCTATTTTCAAGTTCGACACAATTGTTCTTTATTTCTTCCTTCAACATATTATGCATTTTAATCTGGAAACAAGACAATGGCTGAGAGTTAAAAATTAGAAGAGTATACATCAAATATGAGCATTTGTGTTGGGCTTAAAGCCCAGTATACTGATAGGGCTCTGGCCCAAATTGAACGCAACCCAATCTTTGTAGAAAAGTTTACTGCCGCACTAATATTGTCTTAAATCTTAATACCATCCACAATATCTTTATCAGAAATAAATACTCATTTCTTGATCTTTACAACTTCACAATCCAATCGATAAGTAATATATATATATATATAGAGAGAGAGAGAGAGAGAGAGAGAGAGAGAGAGAAAGTATAAACAAAGCAGCCATTACTCGGCCATTTTACCCTCCCAAGCTGTAAGAGATGGAATACTTTGTTCATAACTAAAAAAGTTTCCTGGATCTACTGCAGTCTTCACTTGTACCAATCTGTCAAAATTCCCATTGAAGTATTTTCTCCCCCAAACCCTAGCTTCTGAGTAGCTTGCATTGCCATTTCCATTTGTACCCAAGTCAACATCTCTATAATTCAGATATGAACACCTTGGTGACTTTGAGACATAAGGAGTCATAAACTCATAAAGCCTTCTTATCAGATCAATATTTCTGTCTGCAGCCTCCACACCCTCTTCTTTCCAATTCACCGAGTACTGGATTTTGTACACATTTCCTGCTCTATGTGGAAACGGGGTTGCGAGCTCCGAAATTTCGCTCATTTTTCCTCCATAGGGATTGAATGTTAGCACTGGCTTTTTCAGTTCCATCATTTTGTTCCAAAGTCCTTCAAGACCTGCCTTTGACATTGGCTCTTGGACATAATCAGATTTCTTCTTCAGAAACTTTTTTGATTTTTCTTGTCTTTCAAGCAACACATCAGTGGGAGTTCCAATTGCGTAATTAGACCAATACAAAACCGATTCGATCCAGCTCATTTCGGAATAATCCTCATCCTTCAAACCCAATTGGGGTAAGCTCTCATCCATCAAAGCATGAAGCCTTTCTGCATTTCCTAGAAACAATGCCACAAATTTGGCTTTCACTGTCTGATGTCCCTTCTTATTCCCTGGCATCACAACCACCCTAATGAAAAGGTCTTCATGAATTCTATCAGCAACATATTGCCACCGATGAACAATGTCGGTGGCGCCTTGTTCTAAAGTCCTCTCGACTCTAAAAACAGTGACAATTTCCGGGACGGAAACCAATTTGATTTTCCAAGAAACAATCACACCAAAGCTAGCTCCGCCTCCACCTCTAATAGCCCAAAAAAGGTCTTCTCCCATTGACTGTCTATCTAAGATTCTTCCATTAACATCAACAATTAAAGCATCAATTATATTATCAACAGAAAGGCCATACTTTCTCATCATATTACCATATCCGCCTCCGCTCAAGTGCCCTCCAACCCCAACAGTCGGGCAAACACCAGCTGGGAAGCCATGGATCTTGCTCTGTTCTGCAACTCTGTAATAAACTTCACCGAGTGTCGCACCAGACTCAACCCAAGCACTCTCATCTTCTATGTCGATACTTATAGATCGAAGACTAAACATGTCGATGATGATGAACGGAAGTTCAGACACATAAGAGAGGCCATCATAGTCGTGACCCCCACTGCGGATTCTCACTTGCAGGGCATGGATTTTGGAGCAAAAGATTGAAGCTTGGATGTGGGAAAAGTTTGTCGGGGCGACTATGAATAAGGGTTTTGAGGTTTGGGGGTCTGTGAAGCGAAGGTTTCTGATGTATGAATTTAAGATGGATGTGTATGAAGGGTTGGTGGGGAAATACGTGACTGCAGAGATCGGTGGGGAGGAATCTTGGGAAAAATTGGAAAGGCATTGGAGGAAGGTGTCTTGGGTTGGATTTGGATCTGAAGCTGCCATTGAAACGTGGAGAAGAAGGAAGAACCCAAGGGGTAAAACTGCCGAAATGGCTCGAGTTTCCATGAAATCTCCTGTATTACATTCAACAACAAAACAATATACACACTTTCCTTCTTACAGGTATTTCCCTATATACTCGCCCGTATCTCGCTCACCAAACAACCTCCTAACAGATTATTCTAACAGACAATCCCACAATTTCTAACAGTCTTGTCAATTAACTAGCCATCTTGGCCTTACATTTGGACAAACCCGATGATGCCACTTGGCATCCTAACAATCCTGACTTGCGTTCTGTCAGATTGAATACCATGTGTCTACTTAACAACTAAGCAATAATAAAAGGAAGTTGGAAGGAAGTTTCTGCTTGAAAAGGTGGGTGATTGATAATTGAAGAGAGATAAATTGGAGAGGCACGCAAGATTCTAAGAAAGACTTGTATGGCACGGACGCCACATGACCGACATGTATTAGTTTTTTTTCTTATATATGTATTTTCTTGTATTATTGGCACGGAATATTATTATGACATTAAATTTGTGCTATACAAGTTGACAGGGCAAGCAAATTCCTTCATCTGTTGCTCCAAGTCACCCAAACAACGGAGATGCATGCTTTCGGGTCCCATACGGGCTCATTTTGGTGGATTTGGATCCTCTCCTGAACTAATAGAAAAGATTCTTCTGATTCATCGTTATGGACCGTTGGATTTTTATCCAACGGCTACAATTATTATAGCTTTAAAGGGACCTCTTATTTGTAGCCGTTGGATAAAAATTCAATGGCTCACGATGATGGGTCAGGAGGATCCCTCCATTAGCTCAGGAGAGGATCCAAATCCCATTTTGGTGAACTCAAATGCACAGGGTCTCTTGCTTGTATCTGTTACTGCTTCCCATCATCCTATAATCGAAGACATATACAAAGAAGGATAATATTTAGATTCTCATTCATGAGAACTTTATATACTTACTTTTTTATTTGACCTAATCAACAAAAATGTCCCACATTTTTTGTTTTTCAAAGCGCAAGGAGAATTAATAATATACCTGTTACTTTTTAAAACAACAAAATATGTGAAAACAAATTAAAAAGTGGGTACTCACTATTATCCTACAAAGAGACCCTTGCATTTGGATCTCGACTTGCCCCACCTTGGTGAGCCCAATACAAATTCCATTGTTTGTATTTCGGCCGACGGGTGATGTCGAGAGGATTGAAGAATTTCTTCCACCTCTTAACAAAAGGAAAAATAATTTCTAAAGTAAATTACGATTTACATGCAAAATATTGAGTAGTGCTACATTCACCATTTATTTATATCATCTATATAACAGAGGTAGGAAAAGAGAAGAGAAGAATAGTTATATGGATTGGGACTTCATAACAAGAAATATATGGTTGTGATTGTTTATTAGTTAGTTTTCATTTCTGAGTTCTTGTGGATGGCGTTTCTGTTAAGCTACTTTTTGTATTAGCTTCTGGTGTGATCCTCCTTTACAGTGATTGAATATAATGATCTTTATTGTTTAGCCTCTATTTCTCCAAAAAGAATTGTTGTAACTTCGTTAGTACAGCTTATCTGGATCGTTAATTATGCTGGCTAATAGTGATGGTCTTGCGTGTGTTGAAGTTACTCTACCAAAATAGAATGAAAACTAGAGAAGTAAGAGAGGAGAAAGAAAGAAAACAAGAGAAAAAAAAGAACGAGTATGTAATTCATGGAAGCTTGAGCGTTCTCTATGTCGTAGTTTCTCTAATCTCAACAAAATCTTCATCTTTGATTTCTATATCTGCAAAATACCAAAAACAGCTCCACTGCTTCTCTTTCATAGTTCCATAGATTTATTAGTTGGAATACTTTGTTCATTTCTGAAAAAATTGTCAGGATCCACCGCTGTCTTAATACGCACTAATCTTTCAAAATTACCCTTGAAGTACTTAGTTCCATACACTTTTGCTTCAGTGTATGCACCTTTTAAATTCGTACCAACGTCAAGGTCACGATAGTTGTAAAAAGCCTCCCTTGGATTCTTGGACACATGAGGAGTCATTGCTTCAAAAAGTTTTCTCATCAAACGCAAGTACTTTTTGGTGGCCTCAACCCTTTCCTCCTTCCAGTTAACTGAATACTGAATCTTGAATAGGTTGCCTGCTCTATGAGGAAATGGAGTAGCTGTCTCAGGAATCTCACTCATTTTTCCTCCATAAGGATTCCACAGCATCATAACTTCTCCAATCTCAATCATCACCTTCCACAAGGCTTCCAAATCCGTCTTTGAAATTGGTTCTTTCACGTAATCGGATTTGCGCTTCAAGAACACTTTTCCCGAGCTGGGGAACCTGTTGAGCAGAACATCTGGAGGAGTGGTTCCATTTCTGTAGTCAGCCCAAAACAAAACCGATTGAATCCAACTCATCTCTATGCAATCTTTTTTCTGCAAACCCAATTGAGGAAGGCTTTGGCTCATCAGCTTCAAAAGTCTATCGGAGCTCCCCAAAAACAAGGAAACAAAAGAAACCTCAATTGTTCGATTGACTGGTTTATGAACGGCTCTTATGAAGAGATCATTATCTAGCTTATCAGCAACTTGTTGCCATTTCACAAGAATGTCTGTTGCACCTTCTGCCAATGTTTTTTTGACATCAAACACCGTTACCATGGCAGGAACCCGGACCAGCTTGATTTTCCAAGCAAGAATGACCCCAAAACTTGATCCACCACCTCCTCTAATGGCCCAAAATAGATCTTCCCGCATTGATTTTCTATCAAGAATTGTACCATTTACATTTACTATTTTTGCATCAACAATGTTATCAGAGGAAAGCCCATATTTTCTCATCATGTTACCATAACCACCTCCTGTGAAATGCCCACCAGCACCAATTGTAGGACAGACCCCAGCAGGGAAGGCATGGTACTTGCTTTTCTTAAAAATTGCATAAAAAATTTCACCAAGTATAGCCCCAGATTGAACCCATGCACTTTCATCTGCCAAATCGACGTTGATGGACCGAAGATTAAACATGTCAAGAAGGATGAAATCTTTTGCGTCTCTGGATACATAGGAGACGCCTTCATAGTCATGTCCGCCACTTCTAATTCTAATTTCCAAGCCAAGGGTTTTGGCACATATGACTGTGGCTTGAACATGGGATTCGTGCTTGGCTGCAATAATTACCATAGGTTTCGGGATTATGGGATCCATAAATCTGAGATTTCTCACATATGACTGCAGAATAGAAGAAAAAGAGGCACTTTTGGGGGTGAAAAGTGCCTCAGAGATTGGATTTGAGGAATGAGAATGATTTGAAAGGCATTGGAGAAAATTGTATTCAACTGAGGATGAATTGATACATGACACTGAAATCAAACTAAAGATTGGAAATGCTGCACATAATAGTATTACATATTCTAAGGCCTTCATCTTTTAATGAGTTTTTATGTTTCTGATTCTCTAAAGAGAAGAGTGCCTTTAAAGAGGAGGAAGCGATGACAATGGTAATTAAGGAATTGAAGTTAGTTTAATAATGGTTGATTTTTGTGAATTGTGTTTGCCAACGTAGAACCCAAGTGGATATGTTGACATTAATTGTAGGAAATAAATCTTTGTGTAGTGGTCAATTTGTATGGTTCATAACTTTTAGTGAAAAGCAAAATCATGATTACTAAACTTGTGGCATTCCAATTTGAAAGGATTATAATTCTCTCTCCTTCTCTTTCCATGCCCTTTCCTCTCTTCCTCTCACATTTTCTTATTTTGTCTTTCTCTCGTTATAAAAAATTAATATAAAATATTGACATGGCTTAACTGTGACCGTTCAAATAGGAGGGGGGAGGGAAAAAAAGAGGGGAGAGAATCCTACCCCAATTTGAAAGTACCATAATGGTCCACATGTACACGTTCATTAATATCATATCCTACGATTGAAACAGATTTGCAATCCTAACTATTCGCAGTAACGAAATATAAAATTAACTAGCAATGCACAATTAATATACAACACTGAAGGATTTAACAAGATAAAACCTATGAAAATTTCTCGGGAACTTTGTCACGTAGAAAACAATCTACTATAAATCAAACAAATACAAAAAAAGAATTGTTATTAGCACTCCAACTACTAGACATGTATACTAGAAGGCAGCTTCGCCTTTCACGCCCTTGCTAATTGAGTACTCGTCAAATTTTCTCTCTCTATATGAAAGTGTGGCATGACAAGGTTGCGGTCATTGATCAGTCCAACACGAACTTTGCACAATACTTCTTCTCAACGCATATGAGATCTGCAATCATGCAATATAAATTATATGAATATGATTTAACACAATAAATCAATTACGAGAATCACAAAGAACATTCTCATATTGATATGCTCTCTGTTTCCGCTGAAACATGCGGCAACCCTAATGCGCATATATATATATATATATATATATATATATATATGTGACAACCCGTTCCAAATTTTACGTTTTTATTTTATTTTAAAAACGTGAATTTACGAAATTGCCCTAAAGGTAAGGGCTTTGACTTCCGTTGACCATCGACTTGAGAGATGTGGGACTTATTCTTTTAGCATATCCTCGTAGTACTCATTGGTACGAACGTATAGGCGAAATTTGTTTGCGAGACCGGATTATAACGGTATAGTTACGGACGTTCGAAATTGGTTATTCAAGGTTTAGTGTTAATTAAATTAAATCCCCAATCAGAAATTGGTTATTTAAGGTGAAGCACAATCAGAAATGGAGGAAAAAAAAAAAAAAAAAAAAAGGAAGTAGTTCCCGTCCACCCGCACCCACCGCGGGTCCATTTTCCAAGGCCGATTCCGGCCAACTCCGGTGGAGATTTTCGATGCCACCACCACCATCTTGAATCTCTCATTCCCCTCTACAAAACCCACCCAAGAACCACCTTGATTAACCATGGTATGTGGCGGTTGGAGGTTACAAAAGTTGACGAAAATCAATGGTGCTCCGGCCACCCTTTTGGATTTTCCGGCAAATCGGCAAAGCGATGGCCGATGACACCACTTGGGCTTTGTATCCCATCATCCCAGGAGCAAAACCCAACCAATCTTGACCCCGTTGGACCACCGTAGACGACGAATTGACGTCGGGAAGTTTTAGGCACCCGCCGGCTTTGTGGGCAAAATTGACCTTCTTCCGTCCACTTTTGGACTTCATGGCAGGTATGAAAGTTTCTCCACTCACTGAGATCTTCTTTTCTGTGAAGTTTGAGAATTTTTGGAAATAGTTGGATTTTCCGGCGAATCGGGGCGGCCGACCGCCACCCGCGGCGGCGTGGCCAGTGGGCCGCCAATGCTATTTTTAGGCTATGTCAAATGTCTTGAATTCAGTTTTTTCATTTGAATGACGTAGGTTGATAGTTGGAACCTAAATTCGTTACGATACGTTACTTGATAAAAATGTGAATCGATAATCCGACTGTTGGATCGTCACCAAAACTGGATACATTATAATACGTAATATTTAAAGATCATAGGAATTTATGGATCGGGAATCCGACTTATGGATCGGGAATCCAACTTACGGATCTTCCTGAATTGGATTTGTAAGTAAAATAAATGTTCGCGGCCACTTGTTTTAGGTAATTGGCGGAGATCTGACCGTTGGATCGTAATGAAATTTTAATATGTTATTCTAGAAACATATTGTGGATCGTTGGGAGTTGCGGATTGAAAATCTGATATGCGGATCTTCCGGGTCAAGTTATACAGGGTTGTAAATCCTACTGTCGATCTTTGATCGACGGTTGACTTGTGGTCAATGGGTCTCAAACTATTTTATAATGTCGTTGAGGTTGTGTTTTATGTGAATTACATATTCTGCGGATAAGAGTTCTGAGATGTGATTTGATAATTGGTCACAGGGACCAATCATTCAGGACGCCTCGATGCGTGTGCTAGAGAATCATAGCGTGGACTCCAGGTGAGTGCATCTTTTCCTTTTTATCGTATATATTTTTTAGAGTTCTATCGACGCTTTTAAATTGATTAGGCATATTACTTTGATATATAATTATTGTGAATGCTTGAAGTATATGAACTACGAATGGCTTGATCCCTGTTTAGGGTACGTAGGCAGTCTAACGAGACGTTAGATGCAGCCATAAAATATTTGAGACAAAAGCCTTGCTTGGGAAATTGAGTAATGCGAAGGAAATTGGTAAATGAAAGTTTTAGTTTTATGAATTAGTTAGCTAAATTAGTGTTAATTGGGTCGTCATGGATAATTATCCCTAAAAATAAGTAGTTCGGGAGTAGGGCGTTATTGATTGTACACTTCACACCGTATTGTTTATAATTGAGAATGTTACGACATGGTTGAATATTAGATTGCACCATGGTATATCAATATGTATATTACTTGCATATAATTATTGGGAATGCTTTCAAGTGCAAAGGTGAACTCATGACACCCAGGTAAGTTCAGGTGAGTTTATGGTACTAGTTGAATCGATTGCGTTATAGCATGACTACAGTTATGTGTTAGGCAACTTCGATACTGTCATACTGGTTGCCATGAGTTCCACATGTTATATTGAGATGCATTGAGAGCTCATAAACCTGCACCCCGGTGTTAGCGCTCCCGCCCGTGGCCAGGGCACAGTCCTTCACGTGATGTTCACCTCCCGCACCTTACGCTCACCTTGGATTCAAGGTAGGTGCACAGTCATGTCGTACATACCACTTTAGGTGGTTCCGACTCGTAGGTGACCCGCGATTATTCGCCCAGTCTTCACGTGATCGTAGCACTTGAGCGTATTTATTTACACCCAGTCTTGTCGTATAGACCACTTTAGGTGGTTCCGACTCGTGTGCAGGTATACTTATTGAGCTATTGGCTAGCCAGGATTGATGAGATATGGATAAGTCGTACAGGTCACTATAGGTGACTCCGACTTATATGCTAGCCAGGATTGATGAGATATGGATAAGTCGTACAGGTCACTATAGGTGACTCCGACTTATATGCTAGCCATGATTGATGAGATATGGATAAGTCGTACAGGTCACTATAGGTGACTCCGACTTATATGCTAGGCATGATTGATGAGATATCGATAAGTCGTACAGGTCACTATAGGTGACTCCGACTTATATGCTAGTCATGATTGATGAGATATGGATAAGTTGTACATAGCATTTTAGATGACTCTAACTGATATATCACTTTGTATTGATTTAGTTCATTTGGCCTACTTATTAATATATGGTGGAGTTGATGGCAAACCGTGGTTTTAGTCATTTCTGAGTATGGTTTGGATATATGTATATATGTTGTACTGTCTTATGGAAAACGATACGGGTTTTACATTTAGGGGCATTACTTTTAGAGAGGTAATAACTTTGGGAAGCTTGTTTTTATTGCTTCCTCACACCTTCTGTTTGGTGCCCTCCAGGTTTTAGCTGCTAAGTTTGTATCGACAAGAATCTGTGGCGAATCTTAGTATTGATGGATATTTCTGAGGGTATGATTCTTACCCACACTACTGTACCTTACCTATGCTCTGACATCGCGTGTGAAATGGGTTCGCACCCACTCGTAGCGCACTCTGGTACTTAGACACTTTTAGATTCAAATTTATTCACTTTTTATACACTATCACATTTTATGGCTTCGTCACCTTCCAGGTGTCGGCCAACACAGCTCGATTCAGGGTTCAAGTGGACTTTCTGGATCGGGGTGTGTCATATATATATACATATATATATATATATATATATATATATATATATATATATAATAAACCTTGTTTACACCTAGCTGAGCTGCGGCTACAATTTTAATGGGCTAGACTAACCTAAATAAACCTTGTTTACACCTAGCTGAGCTGCGGCTACAATTTTAATGGGCTAGACTAACCTAATCAACAAAGCCTTATCAAATAAACGCACCACAATTCACCAATTTAAAAACTACAACCCATAGTATATAAACAATAATATTTAATTAACATTTTCAAATCAATATTAGACCTTGTCTATATGAATGTAGATGACAAACTTGTGATGTCTTTGATTTTGCTTGATGTTCTTGCTATCGTTAGTGCAAGAGACTTACACTCAACAATTACATATAAAAAAAGGCTTTTTAGTTAAAATGGTCATTGAGATTTGCATAACATATCACTTTGGTCCTTGAGATTGTCAACTATCCATTATTTTGGTCATTCCGTTAAAATCTTCGTTAAGTGGTTCCATAGCTCATACCAGAAACTGAGATTTTTTGCTGGAAGTATAGGCAATTTTCAAAGCTTCGTAACTCAATCGTTTCTTAACCAAATTCGACCCATAATATATCAATATGAAGGTAGGAAATTGTTGAACAAGATTATACCTATTTAGAAGCCCAGTGGTTGCTGGCGATGGCCGGAAAATAGCCTAAAAGGTGACTAGT